AATAACAATGTGTTTGTTTTACACGTTTCTGCCACGCACAGCTCTCCAACCACAGCCACAAAACCAAAATGAAAACAAATTAGTTAAAATGAACTCATATTCAGAGAGGAAAAAAGTTTTCCTTTTAGGGATATATTGTAACGATTTTCCTGGAGAACTTTGCACAGTTGATGGAAGACTATTTCAAACAACCCCCAAACCTGAAAAACCCCTTAGGACGTCTGCGGGCACCACCGGGTTTCGGACGGGTCGGTTTTCTTTCTCACTTTCCTCGAGTTTGAGCGAAACGGACCAGTCCGCGCAGTCGGCCGTAGGCAAGTTCAAGGCTGTTGGCCGGGGACTCTGCGGTGGGTTTCTTTCCAGTTTCGTGAATGCGAAAGAAAGTGCGAGACAGCCGGTGGCTGATGCGCGGCTGCCCACTCGACGACTGAAATAAGCGGAAGGCGAAATCTGTTTTCGTCGCGATCCGTTTTCGTCGCGGCGGGGCAGTGAGCCGCTGTATTGGTTTCGGATCTGGGTTTTTCGTTTTGCTCCTTTGTTTTGAGATGGAACAAAATTGGGGTCCAGTAATATCTGAAAGGCCAACAAAATATTCCCGGGTGACGGGTCAAAGCTCATTGGTCAGATCCAAAAAGCTTTTGTATCGAACGGGGTGAGCTTCGACTCAGGAAAGGTTATACCCTGAAAACCTTTAAGGCCTTTAGCAGTAGAAAAGAGCAAGAGTCCAGGAGCACCTTGAAGACTAACAAAAATTGACAGTTACTGCTTCTTTCTTCAGATGCACTGAAAACTCCTCCCCTGCCACAAATGTTGTTAGTCTTTAAGGTGCTCCTGGACTCCTGCTCTTTTCTACTGCTACAGACAGACTAATACAGCTACACATCTTGTACCCGCAGTGCTCAAAATATCTTTAAGGCCTTTAATTGATGCCTTTATTTCCAGCGGCTATTGGTCTGCCAGATGTTTTCTCTTTGGAATATTTCTAGGTGCCAAGAAAATGTCAAGATTTTAAATGTCTTAACAGTTTTAACGATTGACCTTATGGTTCCACTGTGTGTCTTTTAAAACGTTGCCAGCACCACCACCCCCGTTGCGGGACAGGGGTGGGATATAAACCTAAACAATAAACAAAATAAACAGAAGGTAGTTTTGAATTTTGTTCTCCTAGGTCAGACTAACAGGGCTGCCCACCTGACATTTTCTTGTGATGGTTTGTTTCCTTTGGACTGCCTATTCTTAGCCGTCTCGGGGTTCATGGTGGTTGGCAAGGCAACATTTAAAATAAATATTTTTTAAAAAAATCAAGAAGTTATCGCGCCTTAAAAAAAAAAAAAAACACTAACGGGAGCGTTTTATTGCTGGAAACTGTCGGGGAGGTCAGCTAGGACCCAGTCAAAACCATCCACATGTTAAAAACCTGGCTGCCAAACGCGGAAGGGCTGAGTTCCATATAAAGGCCGCCTTGTCCAGGAACTTTTAACCCCCGTTTATAAACTGTTTCGTTGTGTCAGACAGAATAGGAATTCGCTTTACAAGGGAGCTGCACCTGTTCCAGAGTTTGCCTGGGAGGGGCTCTCTCTTTCTCTCTCTCTCTCCACCCCCCCTTTCCCCCTCGGTCTTTCCACGCTGCACAAGAATATGCAGCGCGTCAGTCTCATTGTCACGAAAGGCGCTCGGGTCAGGCAGGCTCTTCTGGGAGAGATGTTGAAGATGCCCCGGCCCAGCCGCCAAAACCACACTATTCCCTTGACATATCTTTCAAGTAAATCCAGGTGCGGACTCTGAATAAAACGAGGAAACGAAAGAAAGAACTTTAAAAAGAAAAGGTTTCTTAAGTGTTTGTTTCCTCCTGAATTTCCCCCAAAGGGTAGCTCTTCAGTGGGTTTCCGATGTGTGCGAGGCGATCGGTGCGCCCTTCTCCGCCCCGTGGCGGGCATGTTCGCGGGGCACTTAAAGGACCGGGAAAGGGCTGACTGCTCGGAGGGCCTCCTCCCGTACACTTCTGCCCCGGGGTGGGGGTGGGGGATTCGGTGAGAGCTGCGGGACCAGAGGATGCAAATGCCTCTAGCTAGTCGGCCTTGGGAGCTGCGGTGGCTCAAGTGGTTAAGACGCTGAACTGCAGGCTGTGGAAGGTCAGCAGTTTGAGACCCGAGTGTGCTGCATGACGGAGTGAGCTCCCGTCTCTAGTTCCAGCTCCTGCCAACCTAGCAGTTCGAAAGCAAGAAATTGCAGGTAGATAAATAGGTACCACTTCGGTGGGAAGGTAACAGCGTTCCGTGCACCTTGGTGTTTAGTCATGCCGGCCACATGACCACAGAAACGTCTTCGGACAGCGCTGGCTCTTCGGCTTTGAAACGGAAATGAGCACCGCAACCCTAGAGTCGGACTCGACTGGCTTTTGAGCAAGGGAACCTTTACCTTTTTAGTCGGCCTTAGCTGTCATTTGATCGGGAGAGAGGAGTTCGGGTCCCGGAGCAGAACAGCCTCCTCTAATTTATCAGGTCTATCCATCTTGCTTGGGGGCTAAACGGCAGCACTCCCTGGCAGCCCCATTATGCCCTAGTGATGTTAGCCGTCAGGGGTCCCCCTCGGCAGGCAGCCCGTTGCTGCTCACGGCTTTCCTCTTGCGGCCACGCACTTCGGATGCACTTTCCAACGGGATGTTGCCAGCTCACACACCGTGAAATCCGGTTGGAAAGTGCACTGAAAGTGGGTTATTTAGTGGGTGTGACCGCAGCCGGGGAGGGGGGGGCGGCGGTGATTTCTGGCTCCCCCCCCCTTCCCGCCTCCGAGGGAGCCCCAGCTGGGAGCAGTTGCCCGGCCGGCCTGGGCAGGCTGGTCACGCCGCATCCGAATCCAATTATTCGTTCCTTAGAAACTGCCAGGAGCAGCAACAGCAGCTGCCGCCGCCGCCGCGCTAAATGGCGCTAATAAAGCAAACGCGGCAAACATTTCGCGGGTTTTCAAGATTCCCTCGCTCTCGCTCTCTCCGTCCGTCCCAAAGAATCTAGTAAAAAAATAATGATCATCATCATCCTCCTGTGGGAATAGCTCTCCCCCTCGGCTCGCCAAGGAAACACTTGGGCTTTTCTCCCCCCGTCCCGTTACCAAACGACGGGGTGCGCATCCCTCTCGCCCCTCCCGCCGGGATTAAAAAAGGGGAGACTCCTGCCTGCATCCACACCCGGCCCCCAAAAGCAAGAAGCGCCGCTCGAGGCATCGGGATCCCTTTCCGCTGTCAGCCAGGAGATCCCCTGGGGGGGGGCAGGCGCTAGTCCAATGGCGATCAGAGGGATCCGGCTGGGGCAGCAGATCCTCCGAGTGCCACCCTCCCCCTCCTCCCTTCAGCCCAGCGGTGGGGCTCTCGGTGATCTGTCTGCAGCCCGACTGCATGACATTGTCTTCGCTTGGATCATGCCCGGTCGCACTCGGTCAATCGGGTCGCTATTAGCTTCCAGGCACTCCCCCTCCACCAAGACAAGAGGCTCCGGGCTTTCTAGAGTCGCGCACAGCCCTCCAAATAGGTGTGTGCGCGCGTCCCGTGCATTTAATACACAGAATGCCTGAAATTCTTTGCTATTGTCCCTGCTGCTCTCCTATTGTCCCCCACCGCCTGTCTTTTCTTTCTTTCTTTCTTTCTTTCTTTCTTTCTTTCTTTCTTTCTTTCTTTCTTTCTTTCTTTCTTTCTTTCTTTCTTTCTTGGGCCCTGACAGCTAACCTTTTGCCTGGCTTGAGTCTGACCCAGTGCCTTCCCAAAGATCCTCTCGGACTGTCCCGCACCACTTCTTGGCCAGCCCCAGTCGGTTGCCCTGCGAGTTCTGCGCCCAGCAGCATATCAGCCGCAGAGAATCCTCTGCAGGGCCAAACGCTTCGCATTTGTTCCCTTGCTCAAAGGGGCGGTGTGGGTGGGGGGGGGGGAGAGAAGATTTGAGTGGGAAAGAATTGGTCCATTGGGAGGGGTGTGTCCTCAGGGCCGGCCCGAGGTGTTTCTGCGCCCTGGAGGCCCTGTGTGTCCTGATCCCTACATCTCAAAGCCCGCACGCTGGACCTGGAGCCCATCTATTTGTCTGTGTGTGTGCGCGCGCGCGCGGGTGAAGTCATGGTAACTTCTGACAACCCCTAGTGGGGCTTGGACATTTCAGAGACTTGGCTTGCTATTGCCTGCCCCTGCCTCCCGGCCAGTGTTCCCTCTAAGCTGAGTTAGTGTGAGCTAGCTCACAGTTTTTTAGCCTCCGGCTCACACATTTTTGTCTCAGCTCAGGAAGGATGGCTCCAGAGCAAACTAATTTATGCAGGAGCCAAATCACCTGCTCACCACTTTAATGCCGGGCAGCTCACAAAGTAGAATTTTTGCTCACAAGACTCCACAGCTTAGAGGGAACATTGCTCCCGGCCCTGGTGTTCCTTGGAGGTCTCCCACTCAGGTCCTTGCCAGGGTCTGCCCTGCTTCGCCTCCGAGATCTGACGAGGCCGGGCTTGGCTGGGCTATCCAGGTCAGGGCCCTCTGGGGCCATTTCCGAGCCTCAACTGGCCGTAGTGCTTTCAAGGTTTGCGGTTGGGTAGGTGGCCTGCAGGGCAATCCTAAACAGATGTGGGAAGCTGGTGCGTGGCCATCCGTGCGCGAGTGGCGCATTCCCACGGCCCCCGCGCCTTGATCGCTGCATCAAGCACCAAACGAATGGGGTGAGGCGGGGCTCCTCAAGGAATCGCCCCCTGCCGAGGGCCTCCTTGTATCCAGACGAGAGACCCGCGGGCGGTCCTTTCCCAGGGCTTCTGGGTGAAAAGGTGGGACCCCGCAGAGCCCCGGCCAGAGCCGGCGGCGGTAGCAGCGCCTATAGCTTCCCACTGCCTCCGTGGCCGGCCACGCAGGGGCTGCTGCCAGTCAGTGTGCCCACGCCCAGCCACAGGGCTCCCTCCTCCCGGCAGTGGCCGTGGCACCCCCGAAGCAGGTGTTGGGACTGGCTCCGTCCTGATCGCCCTTTGCTCTCCCCCCCCCCCCCCCGCAGAAACTCGCCTTGTACTCGAAGATGCAGGAGGCCGCCGCCGAGAGCGCCAGCAGCGCCAGCAGCAGCTCCTTCTCCAGCCACGCCGCGCCGGCCAGCATCAAGGAGGAGGAGTGCAGCCCGGAGAAGGAGCGCCCCCCGGAGGCCGAGTACATCAACGCCCGCTGCGTCCTCTTCACCTACTTCCAAGGGGACATCAGCGCCGTGGTGGACGAGCACTTCAGCCGGGCCCTCAGCCAGCCCAGCAGCTACTCGCCCGGCAGCGCCAGCGCCAGCGCCAAGGCGGCCAGGAGCTCCAGCTCGTGGAGGGGTGAGCGGACACGGGCCGGCCGGCCCCTCGGCCCCGGGACAGGGGGACGCGGGCCTTCGCCCAAGCCCTGCTGCAGCGCCTGGCTTCCAGACTCCAGGCTGTGGCTGCTTCCGCGGCAGGGACCACCTTTCCCTCCGCTTTGACATCCCAATTGGGGGGGGGGGAGAGGAAGCAAAGCATCCGCAGGAGTCATCGTGCCCTGATGGTGATCCAGTGGCCCTGCCCCAGTCCTCAGCATGCCTACCTGTTCTTCCTTGGAGGGGGGGGGGGGAAACACAGTCCAAGCATATTACCATGTGCACTGGACAGGACGGCGGCTTTCTCCAGGGTTCCACCACCCACACTCCAGCCCGTTACATGCCCTCAGCCCTTCACCACTGCCAGTCCCCCTGCCAGCTCAGTAAACGGTTGACCAGTAATTGCTGTTCTGCCACGCCGCTGTACTGCTATGTCTCAACCGCTCCAAAAGCCCTCTGGCACTACGGTGGTGGGAAACCGTCGCTGAGAGAGGAAAGTATGCATGACATTCCCTGCCCGAATGTTTTATCGCCGAGGCGCAGGCTTTTGCATTTGCAGCAGCGATGACTGCAAAACTGAGAATCCCCGCCATGTGGAAGCAGACAATATGCAACCCCCCCCCCCAAAAAAAAAGCATTAGATTGTCAGCGCTGGGTAGCGCAGGGAAGAGACAGCCAGCCAGATGTGAATTTTAACCAACAGCTGAGGTTTCTAGGAATATATTTTCTTAATTGTAACCTAACCCCATTGAAGGCTCCATGGAGTGAGCATCCTAGCGGAAAATTCTTGCGGAGCATTGCTCCTGCAGTTCTTCTAAGGAGAGATGGTTTGCTTGAAAAGATTTGTTCAGGTTGCAGTTTTTATGTGTCGCTTGTGAACAGAAGTTCCCTAACAAGTGCATCACTAACACCTCAGCATCTGGACCCGGCAGATGGAAGAATGGTTTTTCCTGTGCTCTCCCCACCCCCCCATTTTTATGGAAACTCTACTATATGGAAAATATCGCGAGAAAAAAAAGTCCGGGGGCACCTTAAAGTTTAACATGAAAGCCATCAGATTTCACCTGTAAAAATGCCCCCTGTTTGGTATGGGGAGAATGGAAGTATGAGATTTAAGGCTTGCCCTTAAACGACTCCTGAAAACTCACTTCATGTGGAATTTCAATGTAACCATCCTTTCGAAGGGACGGAAATCAAATAGGTTAAATAGCTGTCGATTCTTTCATCGCGGAACGGATGACAGTTCAAACGAATGAGAAGTCCCAGTAGATAGGTATAAGATAAAGGGGAAAGACAGCGCAGTTGAAGTGTGTATGTGTGTCCCCGATGTCTGTTCATGTGTGAAGGGAAGGGTCTTAGCAGCCTGCCTGGGTGATTGTGGTCAGGACTGGACCCAGAGACTCCAGAGGAAAGGGCGTGAGGTGAACTTGCACCTTTGATTCAAAAAGTGTAGGAATTAAGGCGTGCATATGCATAATGGCATGCTCCCGCCAAAGGTAGACACTTTAATAATAAAGTACGGCACTTAATAGTTTAGGCACTTTAAGTATGAAGTAAAATCCCTCCCACTGAGATCAGTGAGAGGTAAGGTGCTTCGCTTTGGCTGGGTGGTGCCCCCATGTGATTGGGATGGGTTGTAAGGTTTGTATAGAAGGAGCTGGAACTGTTTAGCAACGAAGTAAGGTGATCTCTTGTATTGGGCAAGTTCCACAGAACTCTCTTGAAAAGTTAGCCTGAAAGCTGATACCTCTTCAGCTCCTAGAAGATGGTCCAGTAAAAGAGCCCCTTTCTGGGGATTTGTATTTCTTTTGTAAATCATTCGCTCTTTTACACAGCTCATTTGCTGAGTGAACAAGGCAAGAAGTTTTTATCAATTATTTCTTTCAGGTTTTTAGAAAGCGGTGTCTTTTTTTTTTTTTTTACGCAAAGCCGCGTCTTTCTGCTCACTTTGGCTGCAGTCACACACACTAATTAATCAGTTTTCAATCCATTTTCAGTGCACTTTCCAACTGGATTTTACTGTGTGAACTGGCTAAATCCACTTGGAAAGTGCATTGAAAGTGGGTTGAAAGTGGATTATTTATTGTGTGTGACCACAGTCTCAGGGAAACTCGTTTCCCAAAATCCCCAGAAGAGAAAGCGACTCTGGGGTGAGAAGCGGCTGGTCCTCAAGGGAAGAGCGGATGTTGGAATCCGTAGATTCGTATGCTACGCCTTCCTTCCTCTCTGCGGTTAAAGAGGTGAGGGGGGGGCTTTTGCCAGGAAAAGAGCGCTGCCCCCCCCTTGGGATCACGGCGCGTTGTTCTCATAAACCGGGGTGTGTGTAAACGGGAACCAGCTAGGGATGCGCTAGTTATAGGGCTGGCAACTGTTGGCCTCTGAGCTTTTTACGGGGGGTTAATATACGGATGTTAGCAGATGCTAACTTTTATCCGTAGGCAGTGCGAAGTGTCACTCACTAGCCAGAGCGAGATAGGAGGGTGTTTGTTCTTTCTTGGCCAGGTGGGGATACGATTCGACACCACGCTATCTTCTTTTGAAATTCAGGCTCAGTGGCACCTTTAAGACCAACAAAGTTTTATTCAAGGTATAAGTTTGCGTGTGCTTTTTCAGTGTATCTGAGGAAGTGTGCCTGCGCAGGAAATTGAACTTTGTTGGTCGTAAAGGTGCCACTGGACTCAAACTTCGTTCTGTTGCTTCAAACCAACCCAGCTCCCCACTTGAAAATTCGATCGTCTTTTGAAATGTTCCACATTTATCGAGAGGAGCGACCGAACCGTCCTTGCATTAACCGAATGGAAATCGCGATTATTTGAAGAGCATTTCAGGGAATACTTGACAATCGCCAGTAAATGCCGCTGAAATCAATTGGATAATTTCAGCTCCCAAGTCTCTGAGACTGAAGAGCTGGGAGAATTAAAAGGGGGGGGGGGGGGGATATTACTTGCACGTTTCACAAAATAAATGCATTAATAAAAATAAAAGCCGATTGCTTTCACTTCTACATTTTGTCGTGGAAGTGCACGTCCGTGTGACCGCATGTATTCTAACTGATCCCGAAGAAAAATGATTGACTTGTTTTGAAGACAGTCGCAGCCCAATCCTATGCAGGTGTATTCAGAATTAAGTTCTACGTTGTGCACAGGACTGCAGCCCGCAGGGATTTCTTTTGTAGTGCTGCACACCGCCAGAAATTATTTGGGAATGACTGAACCATCTGGCTAAATGGTTGCACCGACTCCAGCTGCAGTTTTTCGCTCAGGTCAGATCCTTTGAAGTTCCGCCGGACTTGTTCCTGGATAGAATCGGGCTGCACAACTATAGGCTTAATTTCAAAATTACTTTGTAGACAAAATGGATTGGACTTGCCCAAAGTGAGGTCCAGTTTCAAGGCCCTTCGCTCCAGAGAGTTCGCAGCGTCTCGCCTCGCTATTTTTGCTGATCAGAAACTTTAAACGTTTAGCTTTAAAAACTCCCTGCTCCAGGTATCCAGACCTTACCCCAAGATTTAGGAGCGTGGAAAGCTCCCGATGATAAACCATTTTTTTAAAATACCATGATCACTCTCACACACACACACCCTTGCTTATGTTCCTGTTCCGACAGGAGAGTACCACTATTGGGTGAAAGTGAGATATTGAAAAAATGGTATTTAGCAGATAAATAGTCCAGCAGAGCCTGAGTAAAATAATTCAGACTGAGAGTCCGTGTGTGATTAAAATATAAAGTTTTTACTAAATTCTAGCATGGGGAAGGGTAACTGAGATGAAAATAACAACAGAGCTAAAGGCTACATCCTTACACTACAAAGACAAAACTAGAAGAGAGTTATGGCTTCTCTTCTTCTTCTTGAGAACAGCAAACAAAGACGGGAAGAGAGCCTTAAAATGCTAAAACACTTTGACACTTTTGTCCCAATCAAACTCCTAGATCAGGGAGAAAATTCCCGGGCTTCTTACAGCTAAAGAACATTGGTTACATGAGAAACATGTGACTTCCTGTGAGTAACATAAACAAACATTTAACCCCAGATATACTGAGTGTTTTCGACTTGTAATACCCAACAACCACAGGCTGTGGAAAGTGGGGGCGGATTGTTCAAGCAGGACATGATAGACGAGGGGAAGCCCTCAAGATGCAAAAAGTCGACATTCAGATCTGCTGAGAGAGACTTGTAGTTTCATATAAATTGCCCTTGATTAATCTCTATTAAGCACTGAGTGAGATGGGTGAATCTCTCGTGTGAACATGCTTAGATTTTGATGCGGCTGTAACTCTGGAGTGGTTATTGAAAGAGTATAACCCTGGAGTGGTTATTATCCCACCCCAAACCACCCACCCCCAAACCCTTTAAATCTTCGGCCTGTTGGCAGCGGTGAGCGTTCATTTCCTTGCATTAAACATCGGTGTTTAAAGTATGAAAGCGCGTAGGCGCATTTTTAAGCAAGTGCGGTGGGAAAAGGGGATTGGAACTTCCCATTTGGTTTTAAAAACAAGGAAAAGCAGCCAAAGGTAGCTGAAAATGGGGACAAAGGCAACTTTTCAGCTGTTCCATATCGCCTCTAGTCCTCCAAGCAGCTACGCCCCGCAGGAATCACGACGGAATCCCCTGCAGGGCTTCGGAACTAGCAAGTTGTGGGATCGGGTCAACCTGTCACCCTCCCTCTAAACACATGTTTCTCATTATATAATTAGGGGGAGGCATGATTTTTGTTTGTTTCAGTTCAGGAACGTTTATTTCCAGCTCAAACTATATAAACTCTGTATTTACGCAAGCCACTAAATAGAGTGGGCTTTACTGAATTAAATATGCCTAGGATCTTATCTGTGTTAGCTGACTGATTTCCCACGTAATATTTACTTGTTTAGGCCTACAAGCCTCGGCGTCTCTTGACAACCAACCCGCCTGTGCTGCCACAGGCTTTATGGGCATTATGAACGGGGGGGGGGAGCCGGGAACTAAGAAGCTCCGCGAGGTTTTCCTTTGCACGTTGGCCGCCCCTAAAGGAAGGAAGGCCTTGTCCGGGTTCACTTCCGCTTTAGACTGCGTTGCCTTCCCGTTTGATAATGCCCTTTAACGCCTCAGGAATTAATCCTAATTGCGTGTTTTCGTTGCGAACTCTCTCTTAAATGTATGAATGGTACAATCGCCCCGCACCCCGTAGACTTATGGGTTTTCTCTTGTCCAAAAGTACTCTGGGAATTGTAGTTCTGGGAGGAAGACGCGGGAATTAGCAAACTACATCACCCAGGATTGTTTGCAAGAAGTTATCGTTAAACGTGTATAAAATGGGCAACCCTTATTTATGTATACGGCCATCATCAGACACGCTTCAGCTGAGGACCTTCCGGAATAAAAGTTCTGCGTTTATAGAAGTTTTAGGATCTGGAGTACAGACTCACTTAGTAGGGCTTAGCGCTCCAATCCATTTTTTAAAACCTAGATCTTATCCCGGAGAAATAAAGGTACACGACAAAATTGTTTCCATGCACACTTTCCACTCAGCTGAATCTTCACTGTTTGGGGCTCAGGGAGAAGGGGATATGTGGCTTCCAGTCAAGTCTGATGTGTAAATTGTTCTAAAGAAGAGAGTCTCTCAGGCTGCTGCCACACACGCTAAGTAATCCACTTTCAGTGCACTTTCAAAGTGGATTTTGCCAGTTCACACAGTAAAACTCCACTTTGAAAGTGCACTGAAAGTGGATTGAAGTGGATTACTTAGCGTGTGTGGCAGCAGCCTCAGATGAGCACATGAAGCTGCCCATCAGAACATTGCTTCATCCAGCTCAGTATTGTGGGTTCTGGTTGGTAGCCACTTTCTAGCAGACAAAGCTTCTTCCCACTATCAACTATCTGAGAATCCTTTTTAACTGGTTATGACAAGGATTGTATCTGGGACCTTCTGCATGCAAAGTACGCTTTTTATAGCTGAGCCACAACCTTCCATCAGGTCTGAATCTCTCTTCCTAGATGAATTCCTAATTAAGAGCTCATACAAGCTCAGGGGATATGTGGCTTCCCCTGATCCCCACGCAGCCATGAAGTAGCTTGAGCAAAGTGGAATCTCCCATCCTAAGCTGCTTGACAGGTTCTTGCAAGGATAAATGAAATAGCACCGTTTATGTGCTATCCTGAGTGCCAAAAGGAAGTAAGTGCAATGAACAAAGTACATCAAGGAAGATTTTCCTTAGATTTTATTGTGTAAGTTATTATGAACCCCAGAGATGGTTTTAGGTGGTTCTGTATCCAGGTGATCTCTTGGGATCAGCTGTTTGTTTTCTACAGGACACCATTATCTCCTTCAAGGTCTACTGGCAACTCTGATTATCTGTGCCAATAATATTGGCATACTCTATAGGAAGCATATCTCCTAGGGATTGCTTTGCATTAGTTTGTATGTGAATCCATGATGGACTAACTCTTCAAGGCTTCATTGTTGATAGCGTTCTTTTAATGCTGCTGTTGCTTCAAGATTTATCAAAGTTGTATTAATATTCTCATATGTTAGAATAACCTTTTTCTCCCTAAATGGTGGTAAAATTGAGAAGATGCCAGATAATTTCACACAGAATTATAAAATTTATTTGTCCCATTTGTGGCAAATTTAAATGTCATTATGGGACAAGGTATAAATGTAAAATCAAAGTTTTATTTAAGATTTGAGTAACAGGCTGAGTTAAGATTCACATGTGAAAGTCAAGTCAAGTAAAGATATTTTAAGAATCGTGGAATTGTTCTCCAAACAGACAAACATTTTTCTGTTCTAGAGTAAGCTCTGAAAATAATGGTGTTCAGTGTAGTTCAACTTCAGTGGGGAAAAGTCATCTGTACGGCAGGGGGAAATATCCTTGGATGTGAATATTGTTAGAAAGCAGGAGTTAACCATTCAAATGAATATTCTAACCAATGCTACTAAAAGAACTTTTAAGCTTCTCTGCTGCAATGTGTGACTTATATGGATATTTGTTATATGGGATAGAACTCAGAGGGAAGACATTTTTAAACTGTGTACACATTGAAACCAATGTTAGAGTTAATGTGCATATTACAAGTGTATGGTTGCCAACCTCCAGGTGGAGCCTGGAGATCTTTCAGAGTTACATCTGATAGCCAAATAGAAATCTGTTCCCCTAGAGAAAATGGTTGCTTTGGAGGGAGGGTTCTATGGCAGTACACTCCACTAAGGTCCCTTTTCTCTACAAATGCTGTCCTCCCCAAGGCTCCAGCCCCCACATCTACAGGAATTTCCCACCTGTATTTGGTAACCCAATGCAGACATGGGAAGAGCATCTACCAGCCTTCCTCAGTTAAGTATGAAAATGGTCTAAATTTGCAGTTACACTGGAGATCATGGAAATATAAACAGAGATTTGTCATTTGTAAAAATGGCTTGGGTTTTCCTAAGGCAAAGACCCCCCAACCTTTTCCAGCCTGCGGGCACCTTTGGAAATCTGACTCCACATGGTAGGCACAGCCACAAAATGGCTGCCACAGCTTACCTTTAGTCACACCATGATGATCCTTGTGCTGTGCTGGCAGCTGCTGCCAAAGCAGTGTTTTAAAAAATCTGCACCACCAATCAGACTTCCAATGGCCAACCAGAAGCCTTGTTGGGCAAAAGCCCCACCTGGCCCTACCCACTTTCTAAGAACACTGTCCTAAGATAACATATTTGGATTCTTTCTGTGAGCCACACCTCCTGTGGACAAACAGGGGGAATATGCTATTTATTTATTTAGTTCATTTATATCCCAACTTTCTCACCAGTGGGAACCCAATGTGGCTTACATCATTCTCCTATTCTCCATTTTATTTTCTCCACAACCCTGTGAGGTAGGTTAGGCTGATTGGGTGTGACCAGTCCAGCAAGCTTCCATGGCAGAGTGGGGATTTGAACCTGGTACACCTATATTCTAGTCCTACACTCTAACCACTATACCACATCATTGGGTCAGTATAAGTGACAATTAGCAGAAGTCATGCATGAAGAGGACACCCACCCTTCTGCTGCTGTTCTGATGTTTTCTCCTCCATCTTCCTTTGTCCAGATGGATCATTCCCTATGAGTCAACGTAGTTTCCCACCCTCCTTCTGGAACAGCACCTACCAGCCTTCCTCGGTGCCTGCATCCCTGGGAAGCCCACTGGCAGCCACTGGCCACACTGAACTGCCCTTTGCCACAGCGGACCCTTATTCACCAGGTTCATTGCACAGCCATCTCCACCAGGGTGGTCCAGAGCCCTGGCACCCTGCCCACCACCACCATCACCACCACCACCATCACCCATACATCGGCTCACAGGGCTCCTCCTATCCCCGCCCCACCACTGTGCACGAGGTCTACAGTCCACACTTCGACCCGCGTTATGGCTCACTGTTGGTGCCTGCGGCTTCTGTGCGCCCCCATCGCCTCACGCCTGCTTCCGTGCCCACGCCTGTCAGCCCCCAGTGTGAGCTGGGCAAGAGTGAGCCTGCTACTTCAGCATGGACAACACCGGCACCTTTCCCCAGCCCAGCAGGGGAGATGGCACAGAGCCTAGGCCTCAATGTGGATGCAGGTAAGGTCCGGCAGATGGAGTTTTCTCATTCTGGCTCTCCCTCTCTTGCTGTCTGAACCACTTGATGATGTTGTTGATGATGATGATGATGTTAGGAAAGTGGGTAGGAGAGCATCAGCAATAAAGCCTTCTTGCTCTGCCTCAAAGCAATGAAAGCTTAGGATGTGTAGAATGCATCTCCCATGCCATAAAGGGCAGAATTACACAATAAAGAAAGCACCGAGATGTTGCTGCTTCATTTCTATGTTTCTTGCAACCTATGAGGGATGTGTACTTTTTTATTGCAGTAACAGTTCCTCTCTTTTTCTTCAGTGCCTTCTGAGATTACTGATAACAAGTTGTTTTCCCATCAGAGCAGTACAGTGCGTGGTTTCTAGTTTAGTGGGTCAGTAAAACTAGGGAATTCCTCTGCCCAAGGCAAGAGTTTTGGATTCTACGATTACAGTGATTGTGGCTGCAACCAGTGATCCACCAGAGGCCTAGTTTTAAAGTGAGCACATCTGTTGTGGATCTATTTTATTCATGTACTTTATTTTTATTCCCTATCCCATCCTGAATAATATTGCTGAAAGTTGTATTAAGGAGAACTTAATTTTTGTAGGGCTTGCCGGGGCAACTATGTTTTGATGCTTGGTTTACATGTAGATCTAAGTCCTGGCATTCATTCATTCATTCATTTATTTTGGAGACATGATGGGCAAAGCTGACCGCAGTTTGTTAAACAGATCTGAGGGGAAAGACAGTGATCGGCATTCCTGAATTCTCTCAAGTTGTTATCAGTTTGGACTTGACTTTCCTTTTCACATCACTCCTCCTTCTCAACCTAAACCAACCACTTTTTATGCTTTAGAAAGGCTACATGCGCTAGAAAGAAAATGGCGGTAGTGCTCATCTTCTCCTGTCCTTATCTTATACCCTTCCCCCTCCCTCCCTTTCTGTTTTGTTTTATTTCAATTTTTCTCTCCGTTCTCAGGTTTGCAGCCTCAGGATAAAAGCAAGGATCTCTATTGGTTTTAGACCTGCCTTTCCATCTCCTCTTACCCTCTAGTCAGATCTCTGCCTAAGTAAGACTGCTGACAGAGCTGAAATCGAGTCGGTTTGTAACAGCTTCTGATCTTGGTTTACAGCTCGCCGGTATTCCTTCTGTGGTGGATCCCTCCTGAGCTGAGCTGCTGATTCTAAAGCTCCTCCCACCAAGTCCTGTCTTCCCAACCCTGCACCATTCAGGATCTCATGTCACATTTCAAGGACAAGAACATGGGAAAGGCCATGGGGGCTAAAAGCTGCTTCGACTTGACATTTCAGCAACAGAACCTTACTCTGGGGGTGAGGAATAGGACAGGCTCTCTTTTCTCTTCACTGTGAAAAGCAAAGCACCATGGCTACACATCCAGAATCGTGGCTAAGCCACTTGAAGGAGTTGGGAAACTGACGTGGATGTCAAATTACTGACTTTGGGAAACAAAAAGTGTTTGTTACTGGTGATGACAGTGTGAACTGTTCTTTTTTTATTGACATTTTTAAAAATAAAAAACAACTTCTTGAAAGCAGCATGAGAAGATATGCACATACTAGGAATTATATTTTTGTCCTTTACACTGTATAAACAAAGGGGAAATTCTAAACTCTGAAGCACGTGTGACATTAACAACAACAGAAAAAGAAAAAGGGGCAGCTCTTCAGGCCACAGTGATGAGTGGCAAGCGACTAGCATGAGCCATCTGCCTCTGGGCTTGAATAAATGCAGCTGTTCTATAGACAACTGTTTGAACTTCAGAAACTTGACAACCAAGGAGGCACTTCTCAGAATCTGGCACAATAATTGTATTTGATAATACATGCATACATATGTGTACATATATATAAGTGTATATATATATATATATAGTTTTTATACAAGGAATGTTTTATGATGAAGAAGAGACCCTTCCATAAGGGGAAAAAAAGAACCTTCATGAGAAGAAAACAGGGAGGAAAGTCATTAAGTAGACACGGAATCTCATTTCACTTGAGCTCTCTCTGTATGTATTTATGTTGCTATCTTTCTGACATCATTGATCAAGGGGTTGGGTGTCTCTCTCTTAAGTGTAATCCCCTTTTTTTTAAGGGGGGAATTTAAGAGGTGTTTCTTTGTAGGAAAACTACATTAAAGATGTCTCCTTTCACCCTCCACTAGCATGATTTTTGTGAAAAGCTAAAGCCAGAGAGGCACAAATTTCTTAGGCACAAAAGAAAAGACTCAAAATATGAACTGGAAACCGTTTTGACTGATAAGAAACATCCCCACATTGAAACATTCTTCATGACTGTTACAGGCAGGTTGAAAATGAAATGTGTTTTACATTTTGCTGGAGTGGGCCAAAAATAACCAGCACAATAGAAGCCCTGTGTGTGTGTGTATTGTAGGCTTCTATATATATATATTGTAAACTGCACTGCAGCGGGTACCAGTACCACTGACAGTGCAATCCTAAGCAGAGTTACACCTTTCTAAGTCCATTGAAGTCAATGAGTTTAGAAGAGTATAGCTCTGCTTAGGATGCCACTGTTAATGTGTCAACTGTTGTCCATGTTCTCCAAGCCCCATCCACATATGGGTAGGGCTTATGAATAACAGACAGTCGGCATGCAAGGTCTTATCTGCTCTTTGCCGCCTGCTTTCTTCTGCCCATCCTGTCTTCTCCTACAGGGCAGGTAGCTGAGCTCCTTTCCTAGTATTTATTAAAATATTCCTCTCCCACTCTTTTACTTGTGTCTCAAGGCATCTTACAATTTCAAATTAAAACCACACACAACACAATAAAACTCTATTTGTAGCCTCTCCCCAAAACATGCCTGAAGCTCAAATCCCATTAGAAGCTCAATTAACTAAAAGGGCCTAACGGCATCTTCTCTCAACTTCTAAGGGTGGTGCCCCTCCCAGAGGCAGTCAGGTCCACAAGCTGAGAGCCACTATTAAAAAAAGACTGGGCTCTGGTGGATGCCAAGTGGATGGCCTTAAACATTCCCCCACCCTGGTTAGCGAGAACCATTTCTACTCGGGCTCAGACTTTCTTGATGACTGTTCCTATTTTACAGAACAGGCTTTCTGGAGATGTAAGGGAGATTTCAGAAGCTCTGTAAGGCACAGCTTTTCTGATGTGCTTTTCGTGGCTTACGGGTGGTGGGTCAGTTATTATGATGGGATAATCAGCTTGCTCTCGTCTTGTTGTTTGTATTGTGGTTTTGCAAAATGAGTTTTTAGCTGGTTCTAATGATGTAAACCACTTTGTTGTTGTTCAGTCGCACAGTCGTGTCCGACTCTTTGTGACCCCATGGACCAGCTCCCGCCAGGCCTTCCGGTCTTCCGCCGTCCACTTTAAGACACACTAATTATGAGGAAAACTGGTTGTTCATATTTTCAATAAATAAAGCAAAGGAACAACCGGAAGGTAGCAACTAAAAGTTGGTAACTGGTGCACAGGGACATATGACTTGAGACAGTCCATCAGATATGTGGACCCTAGCCATGAAGGGCTTTAAAGGTTATAACCCATACAGGAGTGATCTTATCCATCCTTGTTCCATGTTCCTTGGGAGAAGAGAAGGAGTAGAAAAGGGTCTGAACCAGTGTTCCCTCTAAGCTGAGTTAGTGTAAGCCAGCTCACAGTTTTTCACCCTCCAGCTCACATATTTTTGTCTTCGCTCAGGAAGGAGGGCTCCAGTCCAGGGCAAACTAATTTATGCAGTAGCCAAATCACCTGCCTGCTCACGACTTTAATGCTGGTAGCTCACAAAGTTGAATTTTTGCTCACAGGACTCCACAGCTTAGAGGGAACATTGGTCTGAACTGCAGCGGAAGGTGGCTCATAAACTGGGCAGAATGGGGTCTTCTCTCTACCACTTGCAATGATCCACAGGAAGTAGGAGCTGAGCTCTAGTTGTACTACTGGGCATACTGCAGGAAGAAATTTCCCCCCACTCAGTTTCTATCTTCTCTGGCAAAGGAGTGCTCATACTTTGGTTTGCTTTCTCACTGAGTCGTAAATACTGCAGCTGCTCTAGCAAATGACGACTGTGTCCTGTGGTTTCTCATTAGAACAAGCACACTGCCAGTAATACAGGAGGTGCTATGAAACTGTCAGTCAGTAGTCATTTTCCCTGAGGCCACTGAAGTTTGGATCTTATCATTAGCTTTTCTTCCGCTAGATTTATGGCTAGATTTATGGGAGCTGGAACAGATCCTATCAGAATCAGGGGAAGCCTGCATTGCTAATGTTTCAAGCAGCTAATGGAGAACTGCCAGGACACTTTATCTAGGGAGAATGGTTGTTTAGATCTTTGCAATTATAGGCAGTGATACACGGGATAATTATTTTAACTAGATGTGTTGGAAAAATCTCCTCCTTAGCTAAGTGTCATCTAGGGATCACTTTAAATGTTACACATTTCTTATATGAATAGCACTTCAGTGTAGGGGAAAGTGTGCCAACCAGATGTAGAGCATCGCATATCTCAATTGTGCCTCTGTCTCTCTTGCTGCACACACTCACACAGTGGCTGTGAAACAAAGTACAATTTGCAGCTGGCATACTTTTTGCGCAATTTTCATCCCCTATGTGGGGTAGGTGTAATGATTGGTGTCAATTTAGATTGAAAATGCATTGTAAGAGAGCCATGGAAATTCTGATGAATTTGTATATCTTGCCATATAAACTAACATTTGTGCATTCAGTAACATTGCTGTAAAGAAATTTGGCAGTTCATGCTACATAGAAGAGGCAGTAAAATAGAAGTTGGCATGTTTTTCAGTGGTTGGTAAAATATAAATTTTAAATATTCATGACCTGCTTTCCCCCCCAAGCAGCTTTCATTGTTCTCCCCAACTTCATTTTATCCAGACAACAACCACCCTGTGAGGTAGGTTAGGTTGAATGAGAGTGATTGTGTTGGGTGATAGTGAGATATTGAAAAAAATAGTCCAGCAGTCCCGGAGTAAAATAATTCAGACTCAGAGTCCATGTGTGATTAAAATATAAAGTTTTTACTAAATTCTAGCATGGAAAGGGTAACTGGGATGAAAATAACAACAGAGCATAATTGGCTACATCCTTACTCTACAAAGACAAAACTAGAAGAGGAGAGATTATGGCTACTCTTCTTGTTCTTCAGAACACCAAACAAAGACGGGAAGAGAAGCCATAAAATAGTAATACACCTTGACACTTTAGTCCCAATCAAATCCCTAGATCAGGGAGAAAATTCCTGGGCAATCCACATCTAAAGAACATTGGCTACATGAGAAACATGTGACTTCCTGTGAGTAACATAAACAAGCATTTAACCCCAGATATTCTGAGTGTTTTCAACTTGTAATACCCAACAGATTGGCTCAAGGACACCCAGCAAGCTTCCATGGCAGAGTGGGGATTTGTATCTGGGTTTCCTGGATGCTATTCTGACATACTGACCACCACACAACAGAAAGGTTTAAGAAAAGTTTTAGTTATTCAGGGCTCTTTTTGTAGAAAAAGCCCAGCAGGAACTCATTAGCCTATTAGGCCACACCCCTGACAGCACAGCATGTTAACATATTAGGCCACACCCCCACATTACCAGAAGTGTGGTCATTCAGCCACACCCACCTTTTGCTTCTTATTCTGTTTACCTTGTTTGTTGTCAAAACCCAGGGCTTTTTTGGTAGCAGGAACTCCTTTGCATGTTAGGCCACACACCCCTAATGTAGCCAATCCTAATGAGTTTATGCTGTTGGGTGTGGTCTATTATGCTAATGGTTTTTCCTGCTGGGCATGGCCAACTTGGGAGCCAGCCGGAACTTCGTTCCTGTGCGTTCCTGCCCAAAAATAGCCCTGGTTATTCTTGAGAAAACTTTCCCAAACATTCTATTAAATGATAACCACAAAAATAACAGCATTTATATATTGTTCTTTAGGCGTTCAAAGTGCTTCATAAGTTTTATCTCTGTTATCCCTAAAATACTCCAGTAAGGGAGGCCAGTTATCCCCAGTGTTTTCTATGGCACATCTAAGTTTGAGCTGCGGTGGCTCAAGTGGTTAAGACGCTGAACTGCAGGCTGTGGAAGGGCGGTAGTTCAGTAGTTCAAGACCTGGGTGCCGCATGACGGAGTGAGCTCCCGTCTCTAGTTCCAGCTCCTGCCAACCTAGCAGTTCGAAAGCAAGAAATTGCAAGTAGATAAATAGGTACCACTTCAGTGGGAAGGTAACAGCGTTCCGGGCGCCTTGGTGTTTAGTCATGCCGGCCACATGACCATGGAAACGTCTTTGGACAGCGCTGGCTCTTCGGCTTTGAAATGGAGATGAGCACCGCAACCCTAGAGTCGGACTCGACTAGCTTTCGAGCAAGGGAACCTTTACCTTTACTTTAAGTTTGAGAGAGAAATTGCCATAAACATTAAAATTACTTTAGCTAAGAGCCACCGAAGTGATACAATGGCAAAACTGAGATTTGACCCACAGACTGCCTGACTTTCAGCCAGTGTGTTAGACCAGCAGATACCAAAGCAAAGACTCTTTCTCAAAAAATACCCACCAACTCCTCCGGCCAGCAAACTCCACTAGATGCACCAGAGGTAAAAAATTATCTCTGGTGGAAATAATTTGGAGCAGCTCACAGGCTCAGGGTGATCTCCATTTCAGACACAGAAGCAACCACTAGCCTTGGCTTTATTTTTGGAGGTGGAATTTTAACAAGAGGCTGCTTCCCAAGAAACCCTCCTCAGCACAGATGAGGCTGACAAAAATATAGCCAAGGACAATTTCAGTTTGCGTCAGGGACCCCCCCCCCCTGCTGTTAGAGTAGCAAATGTTTCTTGTAGA